TAGTTTCAATACGAGTCCATGACACAGCATATGGCAGATTAAGCTTCACATAAATATTCAAAACAACCACTGTATATTGTACTAACTAAATTTAGGTCAAAATTCGACTCATTGACAGATCTACTCGTAAGCAAGTCGAACAGTAACTCAAAAAGGGTACTTTTGAATTCTTGTTTCTACTGCGATCAATGAAGAACCCATATCAGGATTCAGAATTGTAGCTTATATTTACCGAATGACTTCTTCTGGATTGAATTTTCTTTCTCGTTCCAAAGGTTTTTGTAAATTCTATTTTGATACATATTATTATATGCTTGTCAGGATTTTGATGTGTGGCGAGACACAGGAAAGTGAGACTAGAGCCTGAGGAATACAAAAGCTACAGAAGAAGCATTTGAAACAAAACCATAATTATATTTGTTCTGGTTTCGTGGTTGGTTTAGATCTGTGTTGGACATTTGGTACTATTGAATGAAGTTAATTTCCATTGGGTTTGAAACAAAAGCATACTTTTTATAGGGAATCTCATTTTATTAATTAATAAGAGTTTGTTTGTTTTTCCATTTTATTAAAAATCTATGTGGGTAAAATATTTGTATTATGATATGTATGTGTATCTTATATCGTACATTATAAATAATTTGGTGTGTAGAGTTTAGTTTTTGCGCAGTAGACTAGAGTATCAGATCCTTATATAATATGAGTATAAGTTTACAATCCTAGATGAAATTGAACACGTCATCAGTATGATTGTAGTGTAATATTATGACATAGTCTGTCTTGACTATATGAGACTATTTGATATCTCGAATTATTGCACTAATATACTCTCGTTTGGTTACCATATTAGAAATGAATGAATTTGATAAACTAATACAGTCTAATACAATACAGATGGATAAAAGATAAGATTAAAATAATACATAATTTTATGTAGTGTTTGACAATACACAAAATAAGTATTGAATAGTGGTTATTAAATCCAATCAGTTGTTTGGTTAGAGAATTATTTCATTGTATTAATGTTGAATTAACAAAAATACTCTCAATCAGTGTTTGTTACATTGATGACAACTTGATTTTATCATTTGGAAGGTTATAATAGTAAATATGTAGAATAATACGTTTGAGTTGGATTATAATACCACTTATTTTGGTGATATTAAAAAACCTACATAATACAGGTTTATTGTACAAAAAAATATACAATAAGTATATGATTAATATACATTTTTGAAATTAATACGGTATCAAATTTGCTTACCAAACAAAGTATTAAGTCTGATTAAATAAAAAATAGTACAATCCAATATTTAATCCCCTCATAATATATCTACCAAACGAGCCATTTGTGTATTGAATAGACTCATGTTGAGGTTATTCTCTTTTACTGATTTAATAAAATAATAAATATCTCATAATTATTATGATTTCTTATACTCGTAATCCCAAAATATTTAATTACTACATGCATATAATATTTGTCACTTTAATTCATCAAAGAGTGAGATTCATATTGAGTCAACAAACTCAGAGAATTGAGAGACGATGTTTATTTGTATGGTGAAAATTAATTATTAAAGGAAATCATGTCCTGGTATTTAAATAGGTTGATGATGTTCTCTTGAGGAAGCTCATAAATTTTGTTCATGTCAAACCCTATAGGTGAATTTAATTATTTGACATGACAAATAAGTTCAGTGGTAAGGTCTCAAAGAATAAAAGAAGTCAATTAAATATAATTGTCAGTAATTTATTTAATTAATCGACATCTGTAATCTTAAACGTGAAGAGATTATTAAGCATAAAATAATAAAGAGTTCAAAATATAATTTTGAGATAAGGCTCAAGAGATCAATAATAAGTTTTTAATGGACTAATTTATTATTAATGAACTGTAGGATATTTGTTCTGGGTTGAATATAGAAATCATAGGCCCATTAGAGGCCCTACCCTTATTTCTCCTTAGGGTTTCTTTGGTAACCTATATATAGATGTCTAGGATTTTTAAATCAGCATCAATTTCATTACTCACGTTTTGACGGAGGATGAGAGAGAGAGAGAGAGAGAGAACAGAAATTCGGAGGTCTTTGCAGCCCACATTGCATCCGAATTTTTGACGTTTGGAAATGTACGACAGAAGATCGTGAGGTTCATCGAATTGTTTTCTGCTTCTTTAGATTATGTGTTTGTGTTGAGATGAGAACAATTCAAAGCGATTTCAAAGGTAAACCTTAGTTCCGCTTTGTAGGGTTTTAAAGGAAAATTTTTTTGTATTCGATACGTACGCATTATCAATGATTCTTGGGATTTTCGTTTTAACACCCAAATAGACTTTTCTGATTTTAGCAACTTCAATCTTCTTGGTGCACTTTGGTTTTCCAACTGTCTTTAATAATGTAACAGAGGGATGCAAATGAACCAAACCAAGTCGAGTATCAGTCTACAAAGTCATAATACTTGGTCCGAAGTCTATTATTCCTTGCAAGATAGGAAAGACACTTTATTTTATGAATGCACCTAGTTCCACCTTTCTTTTGTTAGTTAACCCCCTTTTCATTAAAAAGATCGTAGTAATTATGATTTTATACTACTTGGAATTGTTATCAATATTGTAATCAGAATTAGATACAGCTATATCAAATATCTATTTCTATATATACTATTGAATGCAAGATAATTATATAAAATAGAATGTATGAAAGCAGATGTGATGTGCTTATAAGAATGCAAAACAACAATAATAATAGAAATAATAAGAATTCGTTCTCTATGAAATATAGTTTCCTAAAAATAGAGTACTCCATCTAGGTATTTAAGGTTGATAAGTAAATAATTTGTCAAGATAGAACGGATTTGACTTTTAGAAAAACATTACTTCAATCCAAATTCAAATTTCAATTAATTTGAATCTTAATCGTTTATCTAATGGTCACGTCCATTTGTAATGGACGCACCCGATCATTGCACCCTTGACATATGTGCTCTCGATTGACATGTCCATTTATAATGGAAATAACAGATCGTTGTACCACTTGACACCCGTGCACTTGATCAGACTAATCGACATGATTCGTACCATTGATCTGACTGATCGACTTGATTCGTACACTTGTACTGATCGACTTGTAATGGACGCAACTGATTGTTGCACCCGCCGACACTTGCTCACCCGATTCATACAAGTGTAAAGTGCGAGCGCAACCCAGGGCCAATGGAGATGGCATGCAGACAGTGGGTTGACCCATAGTGCATAGTAGAGCCTTTATGATAAAGTAAATGTACTTATTCCACTATGTTTTATATGTCTACCAAACTTTTCTCATTTTTTTAATGTGGGATCGGTGTCGATGTATCCTTTCATCTTCCCGAAGAATACATTCGTTTTTTAAAATTTCCACCCAACAAAAAGGCTTTATTTTAAAAATTCTTCAACATGAAGTTGTGAATGTTTATTGGTTAATTGATGTGTTAAGTGCGTCGATTGGTATCAAAGCCCAAAATATCCAAGTCACCTACTTTCGAAATAAAAAATAACAAAAAGTGGTTAGCAAGTGATATACCAAAAAGAAAGAAAAAAATGAGCAAAATAAGGTAGCTAGCAAATGCTAAACCCAAAAAATACCGAATAAAAAAATATGGCTCACATGTGAGAGGGAGTGTTGGAACCCACATGAGGGGAAAAACCCTCCCACTTCGGATACGAACAAACTATTCTAAGCTTGAGCTTACCCTTTTAGTCAAGCTTGTATCCAACTTGTACATTAGCTAAATTCTAACATATTTATTGAGATCCACATGTACGGGTGGAAAGACCCCTCCCATATTTTATGTGCCTCGAAAAAGAAATGGCTTAATATACAAAGTTCACAACAAATCACAATAAGCTTATGCTTAAACTTTTGGGTTAGATTTAAATTTCAAATGAGTCCAGTGGTATCAAAGCCCAAACCATCCTAATAGCCAATTTAAAAAAAAAATTACAAAAGGTGGTCTTGTCCTTCTTTTTCCAAAATAAGGAATATTTTTTCCTTTTAAATTGGAAAAACTGTTCATTTTTTTTTTGTAGATTTTGGTGTTTATACTACATTTGATGGTTTCTCATAGAAATTGATTTTGCACACCACTTGTCAAGTAATTAATGCAGATAATAAAATAGAGAGAGAGAACAATACACAATTTAAGTGGTTTGTTCAAAGTGACCTACTCCACTGTAAAAAATTAGGATGACTTGAGTGTTTTATTGTTGTAGGAGTGTTAGGACCTCAGGTAAGAGCAATGAGAGCTCAGTTGAGGTATAAGATGTGAGAGACATGAGAGTGATGTCATATGTGAGAGATTGTGTGAGATACCCCCCATATGTAGGTGGTGCTTTCATTTTATAGTCGCCTCCAAACAGATTGAGGTGGTTTACCAGTAACTAAAAAGCTAATTTGGTGGAGGTGGCGTCATCCTCGCAACGGATGAGGCTATTGTGGGGCTCTCCTCAAGACCAAATTTTAGGATGACGTGGTTGACTTCCTTGCTCCTTACTCCAAGGTGGCGTGGATGAGGCTCTTGGGAAGCGTTGCCTACTCTTTGATGACGTGGCTCTTGGAGCCTTGATGAGTCTGACTAGGAGTGGATCTCTTTTGGGTTGGACCCATTGGATTTCATATAGGTGGATCCTTTATTCAAGTTGGGCCCACAACCTGAGTTGGGTCTTGGTCTGAGTCTATCATTTGCCCTCCAATGCCCCGAGTCCAATAAAAACTTAAAGAAGAGGGCATTTAGCTGGATTTGGACTCTGGCTGACGAAGACTCCTTTTGACTGATGACCCATTTTCCTTCTTGATATGGTTCTTTCCCATAAGACATTCCTTGCTACAAAAACTCTACCCCATTCCATCATTGGCTAGGATTTTTAAAAACCCTAGGCTATAAATAAGGGATTTTCCCTTTCTTTTCATTCCATTCACCCCTTGAGAGAGAACTTTTGGTGAGATGACCATGAGTTGTAGCAAGTTGAGTGAGGCAATGGAGGTTGCCCATGAGCTAGGTGTCCGGAGACCGCTGTTGGATGAAAGAGGGAAGATGCAAGAAGCCATTAACATCGGAGAGGAGGTAGGCAAGGCAGGGGCCACCACGAGCGTCGTTAAGGCTGGAGCCCATGGCGGCATTGGCGAGGCAGTGGCCAAGGCAGGTGTCGGCGAGGTGCCTTGGGATGGCGAGCACACTGCGATAGGCATCATTCAAGGAATAACAGGTGTGCCAAAGACGGCTCCGCTAGGCGTTGGGCGTGGATGGACGAGCGCAAATGGGCGAGCGCATCGGTGATACCTTAGGAAAACTTCTAAGTATGAGCTCAAGCAAAGAGGTTGGACAAGGAGGTCGGACGAGTCACGCAGAACTCAGAGGATTAGAGCTAAAGCTCCCCCCAGGCAAGACAATAGCGAAAAAGATGAGAGAACAGCTGGATAGTAGCAGAAACCCTACAGGCGGAAAAAATCCGATTCAAGGCAAAAAACCCCCAAATAGCCAAGATCCTCTCCCAAAAATCAAGGAAGATCCCCTGGATAAATGGCAAGGATTTCAATGCAATCCCACGGAACTAGGAGTTGCTCTATAAATATTGTATGACGCCTCCAGTAAAGAAGAGAGAAAAAATAGTAACCCTAGGAGAATCAGAGGTCGATTGTAAACTGCATCCCCCATTACTGAAACGAAAGGAATAAGAATCTTCATTGAATAGTGGACTAGTCGAGCTCCCGAGCCGATGAACTACTATAATTTCAATGTGCAATCTCCCCTAATTCCCAGCAATTTCTACTCGATTCTCATGAGCCTTGTAGCTCAGTTCTAGGTCGCCAGGTACTATTTATTCCCTTTGCTCATCCATGCGAATTCAAGCCATCAGTTTGGCGCCGTCTATGGGAACGATTGTTCCAAATACGCTAATCCTTCAGTGACTGATGGTCTTAACTCGCAACATGAGCAAAAGTCAAACAAACCTTCCATGAATGCAAGACCAACAAGAAGCTACCACTGGCAGACAACCAAGAATGTCATAGAGACTAATCTTCCCATGGGGAATCCCCCTGCTAATAACGAGTTAGAGGCCCTTCACCTAGCTAATCAACATCTGTTGCAGCAGAATGAGGAGCTTTTAAAGCTCTTACAACGCCCCCAGGAGGCTCAATCGGCCCAAGAAGGCCAGAATAACCCACCTCACAAAGAACAACAACACCTCGATCCCCTCAAAGAAGTTAATGAGGGAGAGAAAAATAGCCAGACCTTGGGACAAGTTCCCCATCAACCCCCTAGGAATGGACACAATGAAGAAATGCAAAGTCAAAACGATGGGGATGAGAGAAATGATTTTTCCCTTATCAGTAGGGGATGAGAAAATAATACTGGGAGCAGCACTTCAAGGATATCCAGTAAGAGCTTAGCCACATGAAGGAAGCTGTGAAGAGCAAAGCTCCAATCACAATGGATGCCCTGGTGTAACAGTTGAGTCCCCTTTCATAACCGGCGTGCTGCATTTTCCCCTCCCTTCAAAATTCAGAAGGCTACAGATAGAGGTTTTTGATTGACGAAAGACCCCGTGGATCACCTCAATACCTACAAGAACCAGATGGAGCTGCATGGATATTAGGATCTTGTGCGTTACAGAGACTTTGCTATCATGTTAAAGGGTTCAGCCCTGGCGTGGTTCAATAGGCTCCCCCCAGCTTCAATTTCCTCCTTTAAGGAGCTCTCCATATCCTTTGTATCTCACTTCATAGGAGCTCGAACATATCGAAAGCTGAGCTACCACTTACTAAACGTGAAGTAAGGACCCCAAGAGAACCTCAGGTCTTATGTCTAGAGGTTCAATTCGGAGTCACTGAAAGTAGATGTCCTAGATGAGAAGTTTTTCATTACCGCATTTATAGCTGGTTTAGGCATGTAGTCCAAATATCTGATGTTCTCTATTTTGAAGAACCCTTAGGCAAGCATGGCCGAGTGCTGACCAAGGCAGAAAAATACATAAATGGTGAGGAAGCTCTCGTCTCAAAGGTGGGGAGCTCATCCACGTAAAAAGATAAAGGAAAAGAAGAGAAGAAGAGGGGCCGAAGTCCCAGAAACGAAAGAGGACGAGATGGGTCTCCAAGAAAAGACAGAGAACGTTCCCCCAAGAGAAAGGGAGACGTCAAAGATCGCTTGGGTTCACCACAGCCAGAGCTGCGACCGCGATATGCACCTTGGCAGCTCCCTCCTCTCACTGCAACGATATCACAAATCTTGTATGAGGTACAAAACGAGAAATTCCTAAGGTGGCCGTCTCGAATGAAAGCAGACCTAGCAAAAAGAGATCCCATGAAGTATTGCGAGTACCACAGAGATCATGGTCACCACACTGATGATTGCCTCCAATTGAAGAAAGAGATCAAGTTCCTGATCCAACGAGGGCAGTTGCATCGCTACATAGCTCAAGATAATCAGAACCGAGCTCCACCACCTCCACTACCTCAGCAACAAGCTCCTGTGCAACACCAGCAACCCTTAGGGGAAATCAAAGTAATATCTAGAGGATTCGCAAGGGGTGGAGAGTCTAGTTCATCCAGGAAGGCTCACCTGTGCAGAATCAGAGCTGGCGATGCACTAGAAGTACACACTGTGTCCAAGGCACCTCGGCTGAACACAGTCATCACCTTTTCAGACTCAGACTTAGAAGGCTGTCAACACCCCCATGATGAACCATTGGTGGTAAGAGCTATCGTGGCTAACAGAACTGTTCACCGAGTTCTAATTGACAACAGGAGCTCATCAGATATCATATTTGCTTCTGCGTTTGATAAAAATGACATAGGCAGGGAAAAGCTGGAGCCAGTCAACGCTCACTTATTAGGGTTCACAGGAGAGAAGGTATTGCCCTTAGGCATAATCTAGCTCGTCCTCACAATGGGAGATCCACCCTGCCAGGCCACCACCACAGTAAGATTCCTGGTGGTTGATGCCCCTTCTGCATACAATATCCTGCTCGGGAGACCCTCCCTCAACGCGATGAAGGCAATCCCCTCAACCTATCACCTAGTGATGAAGTTTTCTAATGCAGAATGGAGTTGGAGTGGTTCGAGAAGACCAGCATGTAGCAAGGGAGTACTACATGACCTCGATGAAGCAGAAAGAAGTCGAAAATATCTAGTTAAATGAGCTCGATGTGAGGGATGAATTGGACACTAGGCCAACACCATCAGAGGAGCTAGAGTCTGTTCAGCTTGATGAGGAGCCAGAGCACCTCATCTACGTCGGATCTAAACTAAGTAGGGAGATAAAGGACCTTCTCATCCAATTCTTAAAAGACAACATGAGGGTATTGGCCTGGAAACAAGAAGACATGGAAGGTATCGACCCCTCAATTATCACACACAAGTTAAGTGTGAATCCCACCTGTAAACCTATCAAGCAGAAACGAAGAAGCTTTGCTCTAGAGCGCCAAAAGGCAATCAATGTGGAGGTCAGCAAACTTCTCCATGCCAAAGCCATTAGGGAAGTAGACTAATCAACTTGGTTAGCCAATGTAGTTCTTGTCAAGAAGACCAACGGCAAGTGGCGACTCTGCATTGACTTCATAGATCTCAACCGAGCATGCCCCAAGGATAGCTTTCCCGTACCTCGAATCGACTTAATAGTGGATGCCACAGTTGGACACGAGCTCCTTAGCTTTATGGACACTTTCTCAGGCTATAATCAAATCAGGATGGATCCAACCGACTAGGAGAAGACCTCATTTGTGACTGAGCAGGGAACGTACTTTTATCACATTATGCCTTTTGGGTTAAAGAACGCAGGAGCCACCTACCAATGTTTAGTGAATCGAATGTTCCAAAGGCAAATTGGAATGACCATGGAGGTCTATATCGACGATATGTTGGTAAAGTCACTAAGGGCAGAGCTCTACATTACGCATCTAGCAGAATTGTTTCAGGTCATTAAGGAATACAAGATGAAACTCAACCCAGTGAAATGTGCCTTCGGTGTGTCCACAGGAAAGTTTCTAGGCTTCATAGTCAACAGTAGAGGAATTGAGGCTAACCTAGAAAAGGTTAAAATAGTTTTGGATATGCAAACACCATCTAATGTAAGAGAGATCCAATGCTTGACTAGGAGAGTAGTTGTCTTGAGTCATTTTGTGTCCAGATCAAGTGATAAGTGTCATCCTTTCTTTCAAATCCTAAAAAAAGTGTTCCAGTGGGATACCCGGTGTGAAGAAGCATTCAAAGCCTTGAAGGTTTATCTTAGCTACCCTCCTGTTCTGGTAAGCCCCTTGAAGGGGGAATTACTTACTCATTATTTAGTTGTCTCAGATTTCTCAACTAGTGTAGCACTAGTGAGGGAGCGAGACAGGTCTCAGCAACCGATCTACTACTGCAGCAGAGCTCTAAGGGGGTCAGAGGAGAGGTACCCAAAAATAGAGAAGCTCGCTTTAGTATTGCTGACTATGGTTAGGAACTTAGACCATATTTTCAGGCTCATACTATCGAGGTCCCAACAGAACATCCGATGAAACAAGTGCTGCACAAACCAGAGTCTTTAGGGAAGCTGATAAAATGGGTCATAGAGCTCAGTGAGTGTGACATCAGATTCAAGCCCAGAAATATGATCAAAGGGAAAATTCTCGCAGATTTCATCAAGAAGTTCACAACACCAGCACCTATGGAAGCAACGCAGTTAGTGCCTGACCTCCCCACATGGAAACTTTCTGTGGATAGAGCTGTCAACGCTCAAGGAAGTGGTGCAGGCTTGATATTGACCTCTCCAGATGGAATAGACATCGAATTCGCCCTCAGATTTGGGTTTAAGACTTCAAACAACGAGACAGAATATGAAGCTGTCATTACTGGACTCAACCTTGCTCACTTAATGGAGGCTGAGTAGTTGGAGATTTGTAGTGATTCCTAGCTGGTGGTAAAATAGATAGAGGAGGCTTATGAAGTTAAAGGCGAGAAAATGATCCTTTATCTCATAAAGGTACAAGAGTTGATCAAGAAGTTCATGCAAGTTAAGATTAGGCATGTCCCGAGAGCTGAGAACTCACGAGCAGATGCCTTGGCGAGATTGGCAATAGCCTCACAGGAAAGTTTGGACAGATTAATTCTAGTGGAGCACCTAGCAGAACCATCTGTGTGCATTAAAGATGGAGAAGTGCTGTCTGTACAAGCCCTACCAAACTGGATGGACCCCATCCTAGGGTATCTTCAGCATGGAACTTTGCCAGAAGATCCCAAAGAAGCTGCAAAACTAAGAACCAGCTCACGATGAACTTCTCAGTTCATAAAACGAGCTCAACA